AAAGTTCCCGCGAGTGCCCCGACGGTGCGGTGGTGTCAGACCTCAAGCAGCCCTGAAATTTCCTCCGTAAAATCAGCGAGCTCGGAGCATTAGCCGTAAACTCTTTAAGGGATTTGCATAAAACTGTTTGGGAAGAAATTCCCGACGATAAAACAACTTAAGGGCAAACATGAAACCAGCTCATTTTTTTCTTTTCTTTTTCTTTTCCTTTCTTTTTATTTTTTTCTTTTCTTTTCCTTTTCCCCCCCTAAAGATTTATTAATGAAGGCAACGCGATTTTCATTATTATTTTTGGTATCTTTGTGCCAAGAGTGTTTTGACCACCAAAGCTCCAAATGTTTTCAAGAAATAAGCCCCTTTCGTTTAATGTAGGGCATTTCTTCTAGAAATGCATGGCAAAGCCCCAGAGTTATTAACATTGTCATAAAATGATCGTTTACACAAACATTTCTGGTACAGTTGCCTTCCAAGAGACTTAGGAGGCAAAAGGAAGATGCTCATCTCTTGCCCTAACTTTTTTCTTTCTACAAGAAGCTATAGTGATGTGACTGATAAACGAGCACACATACAATAATTTTTCTTCTTTTTCTTCGTTTTTTTCTGATGGTGGATTCCCCATGATCAGGTTTCCAGGCAGACTCAAGGACAGGATTCCTACCATGATAAAGGCAGAGAACACCCCGAGGAAGGTGAGAAGCGTATGGTACTGTCTTGCAATATTGTCCCTCTTAGTCCCCCTGTGAGCCTCTGTGCAGTCCTCAAACTGGAGCTTGCGTTCTTTTGGGAAACATAAATTTAGTACCTTTTGGAGAAGGGGAGTGCCAGGCTGCTTTCAAAGTGCCTTTTAAAAGGAGATGAATGTGCAGTGTGTTTTATCTTGAGTGAACAAATGGTATTTCAGTTGTTTAGAAAATGATAAGTAGGCCAAATGGATCTTCGCTGAAGAAATAACTATTTTTAGGATATCAGCTTGAACACATCTATCTCTTCATTCATACAGTGCAGTCGAGTTGTGTGTGTTCAGAAACTCTCTGCTTTCTTACTCATAGCCAAAGTCTGTCGCTTAAATCTCCTCTTCCAAATCCAAGCATGAACAAACCTCATGCTGTTTGTTGGGGGTTTTTTTGATGTACCAGCTGATTAATTTTGATTGAGGAGGACGGAGGAAACAACAGAGTTTGTTAAATATCAGTTAAGAAGCTGGACGCTCGTGCAAAGAATGTGTACTGTGAAGGATGGGAGATTATGTTTAAAAGCTTATCATCACGAACTAAACCAGATAATAAATTCCATATAAAGACAGACACAGCTCAGTCCTGGTGCTTCCTGAGACTCTGTGGTGATCTTTCTCCAAATTGGTCTTTAAAGAACCTAAAAGCAATAGTGTCTATGCTTGTAGCACTTTGGCAATGAGGGGGAGGAGGTCAGCTCTGGCTAGATTTCGTTTCAGCCTTGCATCCTCTTAAAAGCTCGTGTTCGAGGAGTGTCATTGCCAACAGCCCCCTTTGCAGGACCTGGGCCCAAATTCTTTATTTTCCTACGAAATACCCTCCCTCAGTTGGCTTCCCTCTTGACTGTAGTGCCATGTGTGTTCAGCAGCACCTCCCCCCTGCCCCCAAATCGTTAGGGTCTACTTCCAAGCCAGCCCCTGCCCTCTAATTGTTCCCGGTGAGCGTGGCCAGAATGAATTGTTTGCCACACGCAGTGGCTCAGTGAGAGAAGGAAATGATTATATCTAGTTATCACTGCCCTGTTCCTCCCTTTCCTAACAATGAGGTTGGAAACCCATAGTGGCAATACTTGTGAATCCACAAATCCTAGAGGGATATATAAAATCGGAGAAAACTGCTACTTGAACAATGTGATGTCGTTGCTGATGTTTCTGCCTTGATTTGAACAGGGAGTAGCAAAATAAATTGGTTACTCTGAGGCTACTCCATATCTAAAGGATAAGCTCCTCACTGAGAGTACTTGCTCCTTTAAGAATTAACTCTTCTTAAAAAAATGTTATTACAAATTGCTGCGGATCACTTTCTGTCAGAGGTAATTTCCATGAGTAAAGAAATGTTTGCATGCAGAACATTTTTGTGAATGCACAGTACCTGTTTAAGTGCTCTAACTTACAAGAAATGTGTATGTGGGGAATAATGCAATCATTGTTTCCTCTTCCATAGGAAAGCATCCAGACAGTGGCTTATACAGCAAGGGACCATCATACTCTGGTTATTCTGGGTATATCATGATGCCAAATATGAATAATGACCCGTACATGCCTAATGGATCTCTGTCGCCACCCATCCCCAGAACAGTGAGTTATCTCTTCCAAACACCATTTTTGACGAGCTGGGTTTCCTCCTGTTTGGTCTGCAGTGCGTGTTCGCACTGGCTTGTGGGCTTTTTTGGGGGGGAGGTAGCCTGAGTTATGGTGAAGGTTGTGCTTCTGCTGTTCAGAGCCTCCGTCCGGTGGAGTTTGAGAGCTCTTAGAGGTGTTGGTCGCGATCGCGGTGGAAAAACTGGGATTAACATCAGCGCTGTCTGACGTCCTTTGAACAGGGCTGGGGGCTTTGCAGGGGGAGCCCTGTTTTACGACTGTAGGATAATGTATGGCAGAATGATGTAGATGTCTGTGTGGTGACTGGGACAGATGTGAATTTTCTGGTTTTAACTCTTCGTTTGTTGAGGAAAATTGAGGGCTAGAAGCAGAAGTGCTAAAGTTACTTGTCAATAAGATGAAAAGATTGAATTCTTTGTTTGTTTGTTTTCACGTATGGCATTGCTATTTACTGATTGATATTTATTTCTGCTATCGGTTGCTCTGTGTGAAGGCTTTATGTATCTGGCAGTACTGCTTTGAAACATACTGTATCTTCCGCCACAAATTGTGAAATGGTTGTGTAGGAATTAATATGAACTGTGATGCAGTAGTTACAGTTTTCCTTTGCATTGTGGCAGGCACTGATTCTTCCTGGTTGGTCCCTCTGTTTCCATTGATGTTGATGCACATCTGGTGGACTTCAATATACTTTTAATTTTAGGTAGTTGTTTCCTATTTATTTTCGTAAACCTCTTGTTATACGTAAAGAGTGATGGGGAGACAATGTCAGAATGAGCTGTGGAAATTACATTAGTAGAACTGGAGTGGAGCAGGAAAGAAATTTGCTTGTAGGCATCTCACTGAAAAATGCTGCTGGGGTTGCGTGAGCTGTGATATAAGAAGCTGGATGCTGTTATTTCCCTGTAATAAAGCAGTTTGCCGTCATACTGGCTCTTCGATTTTTACATGGTGTGGTCTCTTGTCAAACAGCCGGCGTTATCTTGCTCTTCGACATTCTTGATTTTTCTTCAGGGTTGTGGCTTTTGACTTCAAAACCATTAAAAAAAAGGGGGCCTAATCTGTATTGATAATTTGACAGCAGCAAAGCTTGTTAAATTAGCGAATGTTCGAATTTGAAATCACAGGGTATTTGGGCACTGGGAAACACAGGGACCTGACCTTTTTATATGTCACCGTTTGCGTTTGAAAGATGCAAAAACTCTTGCAATGTATTAATTTCTATAGCTCTAGGGTTTTTATAGTATAAATTACAGTTCAGAGGCCTGCAGCCATCTAGGGTGAAGCATGGTGACCACAGTGTGTTGATATTTGTTGTTGTAAATGCGGCTCTGCAGAGAACTTCAGTTCAGATATATCATGGGAAAAAAGATGCAGCTTTTCGAGAGGGCACCGAGGTTCTGATCTGTACCTATGATAACCGTGAAACTTCAGACCTTTATTTTACCCCCTCTTTCCCATGTTACCTTCCCGAGAAAGTCCCTAATGCTCATGCAAGGCTTTGAACAACAAAATCCGGTTTAATTATTCACCGAGGATTTTCTCCGCATGCCGAGGGGCTGCTGCTCTTTCCTGATCTGGCATCGATGCACTCAGAATATCGGCTTCTTGTGAAGGTACTTGAGGAACTGTCCTACGTGGGTACGTTGGAGGGGAGGAGGGGGAAAACGCATCTGCTTTCTAATTGTAAAGCTGCCTGCCGAACGTGTGAGGGGCTAATTTAGTTCAGTGTTGCTCTTACATGTTAGAGCAGCACCACTATTTTGGTAAAATAGGTGCTGTTGCAGGGCTGCAATGTTGACACAAGCCTGGAGGTCTTTCAGTTTAACCACAAGGCTACACGCTCGAGTTATTAAATAATTTTTTTGTTTAATTGAACTATAATCTGTGTTAGTCTCTTAGCTGACAGCTGGGTTTTAATGCGTGCGAGATCAAAACGCCGCATCCAGGAGATGACACGCTCGCTCGCTCCATGGCTCCACAGCTCCAGCGCCACGCGCTGCTGCCTCTCCACCTTTGCGGGGTCCCAACCTCCGATGCGCAGGTTTTGCTTTTGCCCCTCTTTTCGGGTGGTGGAGGGGCAAGGAGCAGCCGAGATTAGCGAGCTCTGGAGGTGGAGGTCTCCCCCGGGGTGCCAGTCCCTGACCATTTGTGTGTGGAGCAGCCCGGCGCTGTGTACCTGCGCCCTGGCATTTGCATGACAAAGCCGCTTCTTGTTGATGCATCTGTTGCCTGGAGGTGTTAGGCAGGATTAAAAAGCCGCCCTGGGGCGCTGAATCCTTTTTTCCCCAGCTTTGGAAGGACCCGACTGCCTGCGAAGCGCCCAGGGGGTGCACCCCCGGGGAAACGTGGCCAGACCCAGGACAGGGACCCTCTCTGAGGGAGGCGACCTCGACTGTCTGTGCCAGGGAGGAGAGAGCAAAGCTTTCTTTGAATGGGAAAAAAGTTACTTTCACCAGCAAACAGGGGGAAAAAAAATGCCTTTAAAAACAAAACAAAACAAAAAAACCCCAAAACACAAAATGCTTTACATTCTTGCTTTGTAAAATTAAAAATGCAAATCTATAGTCAGACAAGTTTAATAAGACTTTAAAAAAGAAGACTGAAGTCTAATTTCAGTGCAGCTTTTGGAGGGGAGAGAGTGTATGAGGAGGATTTAAAATCTTTGAAAATCTGCTGTTGTTAGAGTGGTCTCGTTTTCCCCATTCTTCTTCTCTTTTCTTTTTTCTTTTTTTTTTTTTCCCCTTCTTGTATTTTCCTGGCAACTGATTGACCTTTTACAAATTTTATTTGTAGGCGCAGTAGCGTGTTAATTACAAGTTCAGGTACAAGCCTCCACCACAGTATATGTTCTTATCAGTTAGCTGGGTAAGTGAAAAAACCGAAGCAGTTGGTTTGGGTGGATGCAGGAGAAGTGGCACGTGATGGTACTAAAACCACAGTTAACACCTGGTGAATGTGCATCCTGTGTGCTTGAGATCTTTTGGTGGTTTCTCAGCATCATGAGGGTACTGAAGATGGGAGACAGACACAGCTGTTTGTTTTCTAACACGTGTGGGTTTTTTCTTGCTTTTTCATTAACAAGACTAGTTTTGGGGTAGCAAACCTTTCTCATCTGTGTGATGGGAATGTGGAGACAATAGAGCGTGACTGAAGAAAACTCATTTATCTGTATCTTAAATTCATGTAGAAAATATTTTGTCTTTTGTCTTGTTCCTCCTCTTCTCCAATGAATTAAACTTTCTGTGGGAAGATAGAAGGTTGCTGCAACCTCCCTTTTGTCTGTTCTTATCTGTTTTTAGGGTCTGGGTTTATATTTTTGTGGCTAAACTGTCTCTTTGTAGCAGCTGGAGGTATTAAATAGGTTGGAGGATACAATCTATAAACACCTTCCAGCAAGTTGCAAAACACACCATATCCCTTTGAAAATTATGAAGAATTCTGCTAAGAGAGTTTGAATACAAGGAACAGCATTTGTACATCGGACCTCTCTACCCTGCCCAAGTTTTGGATATTCCTTGTGTGCTTTTGCATGACAACGGGTATGAAGATAGCTACTGTCTCAAAGAGCTAATGTCCCAGGAGAAATTGTGTGAATAATATGGATAGAACAAAAGATGAGGGTGGAAACAGCAGGGATGACTGGG